GGGGGGAGGCACAGACCGATCGGTGGCAGTCCAGTGGGGATCGCGGGATCAAACGAATTTTGTGGCTTAGAGGGATTCCAATCCGTATACATGCATATTAGTATGGCAATGGGTTGAATGTCTATAGTAAAAAACAAAAACAAAACAAAAAAAAACGGTCACACTGCAGAAAAAAGGAACGAAAAAGGGGATACTGTCGAGAAACGATGCATTTTGGCACAATGGAATAGTTTTATTCTCTTTTTTATTTATGCTATTCGAACTAGCCTCAAAGGTGGTAATATTGGTAAAAATAAGAGTACAGGAAACGGTATAATGCATAAATACCTCCCACACTAATAATATTAGCGAAAACAAAAAAGTAGATCAATAAAGCTATGGAATAGGACATAGAAATTGTTGGTTGAGTGGAGGGATCTTTATGGAAACAACAACAACAACAACGTAGAAAATAGATAATTCTATGCTAAAAGGTTCTTTCCGCTTTTTTCATTCTCATGCCACCATCCCATCAGTATTTGTCCGGGGCTGAATAAGCTTCTTCGAATTTAATACATAGGTATTCACAAAGCCGCGGAGCCTCGTCTGGAGGTGTCGTATCCCCAGCTCCAGCTTGACCAACATGTCGTAGTCGAGCTGCTTTAATTCCAAAATCGCCGAGGGCGCCTTCACGTCCTCCGTCGCCGAAGCATCCTCAGCATTTTTGTCCTTTCCCTTCGCATTATTTTTCTCCTCATCACTCGCCTTTTTGGGCTTAGGCAGGAGCTTCTCCTCGATCGAGGCGCGCGAGGCGAGGTATTTCTTCGAGGAAAAGATCCCCGCAGCGGATTTCACGGCCTCTTTTTCCCCGTCATCCCCGCTGATAGCATTCTGAAATTTGTCGAGTTTGGAAAGGACGGCGGCCTGCACGGCGACCCCGAGGTTGTCCTCCTCTTTGAACTCCGGGATGCGCAGTTCGATCATGTTTCGAATCTCCTCTGCGGCGACCCACACTTTCAGCGAAAGGGCCTCATAGCGGTGTAATAAATTTAATAATTTCTCCGGCGTGGCTTCCGCGGAGGAGGGGACGGAGTACGTTTCGCGAAAGATCGCCTCGCGGGCGGGGAGGAGCTCGCGCAAAAGGCCATTGAACTCGTCGATGGTTGAACTTCCCCAGCGCTCGACCTCGGCGAAGCTTCGGTCCTCCGGGAAGGCCTCACGGAGAGATTTGACAAGGGCTGCACGCTTTGGAGGCATTATTGCTCGATTGAATTATTAACAGATGAATTAGTAGTAATAATAACGGATCCTTGTTTTAAAATATTTCAGGAATATTTGACTTGCGATAATTTTTCGAGTAAAGCAAACTAAAAAGGTATAAAAAGAAGAAATATGAAGATAATAATACAGAATAGTATCAGCATCACCTTCGCTCAAGTTCTACAGGCGGTACGATTATTTTTTGTTAAACGTTATTACGTATTTGAATGACATTACCAAAAGAAGGGGGATAACATGTAAAGAGAGGAATAGGGTATAACGTGCATAAAGAGGTTTTTTCTCCCTGCAGCATTAATAATCTCAGTGTTATTGTTTTTTTAATTCCGTTTCCTGCGACTTCCTTTTCGTCGCATGGGAATCTTTAATGTTTTTTTCCGACTCCGGTTGTCTTCCGTTTCGTCAATCCAAAACAACTCCTCTTCGTTATCTTTGAACGCAGTAGACGCCTCATTGGATATGGGCAGCCTATTTGATTGATTCCTTTCACCTGAAAATTTATTCAATTGAATGTCAATGTTCTTATGGAGGGCTTTTTGTTTGCTATTTTTCATTGAATCTCGCGGAGCGGCGGTTTCTTTCAGGCTCCCAGAAAACGAGGGGGAGGAGGGCGGGTTCTTTCCAACCTTTTTTTTCCCTTTTCTTCGATCGCGTCTTCTTCATAGTAATAAACATATCGCGGGGAATGGCCGGCGTCTTCACTTTTATCGCCATTTCGTGTGCGGAGAATTTCTCGACAGGAGGGCGCCTCGTGGGTGGTTCGTTCCGGGCTTCGACTACGCTCCATAAAGACAAAAACCGGGAGCACCGCGGGCTGGATGGAAATCCGTGGAATTCCGCTCGGAAATAACCCCTCCGACGACGAAAAATAATGCCCCAAAGAAGAGGAAGAAGAGGGGAATCCGGAGGGCGCATTACTCGGCCACTTGCCGTAGGGAGAGCCCTCACTCATAGGACTATCCTCTTCGTAGTTGTCATGATGATTAGCCGCACTATACCCCTCATTATCGTCATCGTCTTTGCCAAACGGAGGCTCGGCGGCGTTGCTATTAGTTTTAAAGCGGGAAAGCCGCCCCATTGGTTCCGCGGCTGCCGTCTGCCCCCTTTCGTTCAGAGGACTGATCAGCCGTAGCTTTTGCGTATTATTTTCCATTCTGGGATTCTTCTTTTCCTCCTTTTGGGTGTTGAGGAGCTGAAGGAGAAGTTCTTTAATCGGGCTCATCGAGGACGCCTCCTTCTCCGTCTCCTTTTCATTCGTTCGGATGGCTAACAAATTCCCACGTTGTCGTTGTGGTTTTGCCTGCAATACAAGCCGCCCTCGTAAAGGCGAGAGCACTATCCCCTCCGCTTCGACTTCCTCCACGTTTTCCTCCTCGTCTTCGCTGCTAAAAGCACTCGCCGATACTCCCTCAACGAACGCTCTAAAATACCCTTCCAACCCCTCCTCAATCTGTTTCCCATACCTAAGGCAAGCATCATATGACAATTCCTTCATGGAGGGAATACTCGCGACGTCGTGCGGTCCATTTTCTCCAATTCTCGCCTCGCCCGGACGCTCTTCCGAGTCGTTTTTCTTCTCGTTTGCCTCTTGTCGGCCCCACATCTTTCCTTGTCGGCGAAGCCAAGAACAAAAGTAGGCTTGAATCTGAGGGCAGACCTCAAACACGTTGTCGAGACCCAACTCGCGTGTGCTGGTCAAACCCCTCCTTGGTAAGGCGAGCATTCGCGGGAAACGCCACCCCGGGAAGTTTTCGCCCTTTTCTCGCGAAATGCCCGCCGCGAAAGGGCAATAATCCAAAGCATCGAAGCCTTTTTTCGCGTGATGGGCCAGTAGAGCTTCTAAAGCGCGCCCTTGAAGTGAAACTAAACAATCGTTGCCTTCGAAACTCATTTCAAACTCCTCCTTCCCCATCTCCACAGGCTTCAGGGGTGGGAGTTTGAGGGATTGTTGAGGATCGTCGACATCCACTGATTCGTTGTTCGTTTCCTCTTCGCTTTCCTTGCCCAATCGACTTACCACACCCGCATCACCGTCAAAAGCGCACTCCAAGAAGGAAATAATGTCCCCCTCCGTCAGGGCGACACTTCGGCCTGCCGGTACGGCCTGCGTATTAACAAAAATTGGATTACTACCGTAATTAATCAGAAGATAATACGCCCCTTTAAAGGACTTTGCGCATTTAGTGTACTTCTCCTGCGCGGGGGAGGGCGTCCCTTCGTTTAAAGATCCTTCCATCGGTGAAAGGGGCTCCAAAGACGCGGCCCCCTCATCCTCCCGGATAACATAAACCATCCCGCCCTCTTCGTTGGATTTCGTTTCCTCCTCGATGATGGAAGGAAAGCGTTGGATAAAGTACGTGTGCATATCCGCACAGGTGATAAAAACAATCCGGGCCTGCATTCGACTAATGCAGGGATGGCGTAGACGATAGTAAAGCGAAGACGACGACGACAGCTGCGAATGCCGGCCCAGAATCACGTGCGCGATGTGGCCCATCCACTGCTCCGCACTCAACTCGCCTTCGCGTACGAGTACTTTTTCATTTTTTCTCGGAGAAGGATTCGACCTCATGTCATCGTTTTCATCCCACTGCCAGACACGCGTGCGTTCGAAGAACCGCCCGCGTGCGCCTTTGCCTTGATGTTTCCCCGAAGAGGCGATATTGGGGCTCGAAGGAGGCGCCTCCCGGGCCCTTTTTCGGGCGTTTTCGAATCCGATATCGGGATTGGTATTGACATCACCGCCTTCGCATTGATGATCAAGCGGCGGCGTCTCCATCGCCGAACTCCACGCACGGGTATAAAAAGGCGCGAAAACGGTGCGCTGGGGTCTTCGCGGAAGCATTATGTCCGCATTACACACGCAGCTGTTGACTATTTTGAGCTGAAAGCATTTCAATGAGGAATCATTCTCCGAAGGACTTCGCGCATTGCTGATAAATTTACCCGCTTCATGGATGTGAGCAGTTTCTTGACTCTTTCTTGTCGTTGGTTGGCCACGGCCTCGACGAGCTTCTTTCATTCTTTATATTCCAATCTATGAATTAAAAATGTAAAGTAAAAAAAATTATAGCATACAGAGAAAAAAGATGGTAAATAATGGTTGTGATGGATTTGAATAACGGTCTATGATATGCGTATTTAGACACTTTGATCTTATCTTAAAGTGATACTAGTGATAATAAAATAAAAATCATTCAGTAGTATATTTCTATAGCTAATAAATAAGTAAATCTATATATAGTTGTGCAAAAAAAAAAGGAAGGGTGATCGCTCACGTGTGTGATCCCAGTTAAAAGGACAAAGAGATATTACACGTTTCGTCAGCTAAAAAATCCCCCTTTTTTAGATAATAGACGATGGGAATTTAAATCACTTCTATGAAATTAAGAAAAAGAGGAAATAAAACGATAATAAAAGGAGAAGGATCCACACATATAGAAGAAAACAACAATGATCTTTGTAGTATTATCAGCTTTCCTTTTGCACAACCGGCGTGGATAATTTTCCACGTAGTGTTTTTTCTTACCTCTTTTGTTAGCACTACTATTTTCCTCCTCAGCATTTTTCGATAATTGTTTGTTCGTTTTTTTTTAATGAATAGAAAATTGAGGTTCACCTCCATTTATCCTTCTAAAGATAAATAAATAAGAAAGCTGAAGCCTCATCATATCTCGTTAACGCTTTCTCGCATACATATCGTTCTCCTCTAAGTATGTCGTATCCATCATCTGCCCATCAAACTTATTTAAATCATCCCATTTCCTTTTTTCTAGCCATTCAAATAACCCCCTTCTTCTCTTATTCTTATTCCTTACTTGGCATGTTTCCATGCGCACACCCTCGACGTCAATCCCACGATCTTGCAGCATTTTCCTCTGTGCCTCCTCCGATAGCTCCCGTCGCCATTGCGCATTTTCGTTCTCTTCATCCTGCTCAATATTGATGTTGTTTTGTATGCGAAAAACAATCGTCTGCAGGATTATTGTGAAAATGACTATAAGGGCAAAAAGTTTCGGAATCCGTGAATACCTTTGGTCTAATTTTGGTGAGCATTTTTCACATTTACACCAAAATCGATAGCGATCGTGCAGAACATATTGTCGACTATCAAACGACCAATTGGGCGGGACGTAACTAATGAAGATTTCTTCTCCTGCCTTAATCGGCTGAGTAGTTCGACAACAAAAAAGATAAACTGGCGCGCCGTACTCCGTAAGCGATTTAAAATAGTTTTCCTTTTCCTGAGTATCGTTATGATTTATAACGGAATAATCTTTTAGATGCGGGCTAGAGCTATTTGATAGCTCGTCAAACGAAGCATCAGCCGTGCCATTATCGTTGTTGTTAGCACGATGCGCGCAAATGCTGTCCCCCTCCTTTTTCATCATGACGCTTGATTTTGTATCCTCCTCATCGCCACATACCGCCATACGACTTTTAGACATAAGTTCATCATCTATTTCTTCTTCGTCTTCTTCCCTTTCTTTGTGGGTTTGAGATGTTTCTTCTTTGGTGTAGTATTCGCTTTCCTTAAAGACATGTTCGGGTAGGATATCATACGTTGCGTTCGGTACGCAGCTATGGTTTAGAAAGCCTGCCTCTGGGAAGTACGCCATACCCTTTCGCTCTGCATAAAAGCTTTCGACGAGGAAACTGTTTAAATCCATAATTGCAGCCATTCGTGCAATATGAATGGGATCCAGTTCGAGGCGGTCGAGGACTTCTCGCCCGCCGATTTGCTCGATCACGCGTTTCGTTGCCGCCGCTGGCCAGAACTCGAGCAGTGATGAGGGCTGCCCGGTGAGAATCCACTGAAAGAGAAACGCATGCATCTCCACCCCCTCCTCGTCCTCGTTGTGGAGGAGCATCTCGTTAACGCGGCGGAGGATCGCCACGCACATCTCCTCCAGCCGGGCGATCTCGCCCTTGACGCCGACGCTCTGCGCGGTGCTCTGGACGACCATCAGCAGCTCCCCCGCGGGGAGATCCCGCGAGG